CCTAGAGACTAAAATATGAAATATTCTTCATGTCTAAAATCATTTCATTGAACCTATAAATATAAACGGAATATTTTTAAACGAAAATATTTTCTCTTATAAACATTGCATGAAAAATTTAAATTGCATCTAAAGTAAAAGTTTGTGGCCAGTAACTTTTTAGAGTCCAACTCGTCAAATAACTTGCCCTAGTACACGGAATGTGCACTCTTCCAATCGGAAAAGTTGGAAATCACAGAAAGAAGAATCTCAAGAGAATTTAGTACGTAAGAGTATACTTTTGAAGAAAACCTCGAGAATTGAGGCGTTGATTTTTGTAACTATTCATTTTTTAAACGTTCTTTAAGCTTTGTAACTGCAGATAAAGTAAAGTAATGTCACAAAATTTTACGCTCTATTTTTTTTTTTCTAATTCAAAAGAAGTTTTTTTTAATTAAGAGAAATAGTGAGAAAGATATTTAGTGATTTCACCTAGTACGAGATCAATAATTTTCAAATGCAATAATTATCTAAGAAAAAGAAGAAATAATTCGTTCACCAAAGGCTTTGTCTACACACAATGAAACTAAATCCACTTGAGAAATTCCAGTGACCCACCGACAAAAATGAAGTATACTGTACACTATACAGTTTATCTACTTCATTTGAACGCTTTGAAGATTTTTTAGGAGCCATCAAGCAAACTCCACTTACATTGAGGTTGAAAAATACCGAGAAACTACTCTCTCTCTCCCTCTCTCTATAAAAAAAATAAAAAAATAAGAAAAAATTGTTGAGTTAGAGTTAGAAGCACCTCAGGCTTCTTTTCTTTCTTTCTCTCTCTCTCTCTCTCTTTCTCATACTTTTTTTTCCTCTCCGTTCGTTATTGTCATCGTTAAAGCTAGCTAGAAAGAAAGGCAACTCCTTTGTTTCATATTGCACAAACTTTTTCAAAAGATTTTAGAAAAGAGATAGCAACATATAGAAAAAAGACTTCTGTATTTAATGTTGGAGAAAAAAATTTACACTCCATATACAAGAAAAAATACCCCCATGAATAAGTAATGACGGTAATTAAAAATGAAAGCATTATGAAACTCTTCTATAATTTTTATAGTTGAATTCAGTAGGTATATGTTTAGGATAATTGAATTAAAAGTTTTTTTTTATTTCTAGAAAAAATAAGCTCAACATTCATCCTAGCTAAAACTGTGCTCGACGTTTGTTATATAAGGATCAAGAGTACTTATTTTATTACACCGTTGTAGATCTAATTTTAGAATTATTGTCTTTTTATTCTCACTATTAAACATAAATACCTAAATTAAAGATAAAAGTTTAATATGCTTGATGATTAAATTTTAAGGCTGCTACTGAAATTAATTTTTTTTTTTAATAAAAATGCAGAAAAAAATTTTTCAACGAATAAGGAAGAATATTGGTATGAACAGAACTACATTATTTAATTATCTCACAATAATGCAACTGGAATTTAATCTGAGTAGAAAAAAAAGAAATACTAATGTCATATAAAACTAGTAAATCTTTTTCACTTAAGAGTTGTAAAATTGAAAAAGTAGTATCTTAAAAAAAATAAATAAAATCAAAAGTTCTATAAATTGAATCAATAAAACTCAAAATTAATCCGGTGTAGAACAAACTCGTTAAATAACAATTCAGATTACTTTTTTTTCTCATTTTATAGTTCTTGAAATAGCAGTACAAGACTTATGTACAATGGTGCAATGGAACCCTCGTAAAGTTAACAACAGATATAATTCTATCATTGTCGCAGAAAACTTTAATTAGCTGAGAGAAAACAGCTGAAACCGATTTTTACAATGGTACATTTACCATTTATAAATGAGACTAGTGTTATATAAACTTTACATTATCAAATCAATTAAAATTACTACAGACATAAATGAAGTTTTTCATATAAAAATTTGTTCATGTAAAAATAGTCAAACTATGAAAAAGTAGATAAAAGAGAAAACGTCAGGATGCAGAATAAAACCTAAAGAATACGATGATACGTGATAAAACTACCTTAATTTACCATTCTCGCATTATTATTTGTCAACAGCACGTAAAAAAGATGACAATATAAAGCTATCTAAAATTTAATATGCAAAGAATTTCAAATAAACATCCAATTATTGAAATAAAAGGATAAGAATGATTCCAAAACGGCAAGTACACTATAAATCCAAATGCAGTCTTGTTACACATCTAAACGTAATTATTGCAAAATATTTCAAATTAATTGAGTTAAATTTTAGTGAAGTTGTCATTCGCTGTCATTCATTGTCTTTCTCCCATCAAAATAAGCATCAACACAATAGACGTACATCTGCAGTTACTCAGTTTGACATGAGAGACTGGCGTCTCATGGTTGTACAGCAAACATGTAATTTATTATACACTGACAATTTATGTAGAAGTAAGAAAATATATACAAAGATATAGTGATTGTAAATATGTAAATCCTCACATGCATATATCTATTTAAGTTTCTACCCTGAAACGTATACGCAACGTGGTCGAATATCCATCAATCACGTATGATGTTTGCATGTGTGATTAATGTTCTGCAAGTCACTCTAATTACTCGTAAACCACGAACACACACGTCCAATGCACGATTATTTTCCATCGATCTTGGCCAAGTATCTTTTCACACGATTAACGTCGATGATACGTGAAGTCAATAACAAAAAAAAAAAAAAGCACAAATGAAAAATATCAAACAATAATGGTAAACTGTTGATTAAAATAATGAAATAAAATAAAACATCAAGTAATTTTAGTGCCAGTTAATTAATATGTGGTGATGATTTGGCGGCATTTTATCAAGTCATGTGGTATCCTCACACCAACTACCAATGCAAAATTCGAATTTCAATTAGTCTAACCACTCGATGAAACCGCAAAAGCGACCATTTCCACAACTGCATATACTAATTCGATGAAACAGTCTACTCTATACGTGGATGCACTTTGGGGACATTAAAATCCCCACAGTCTTTCAATTCAGATCACGTTTAATGTTCACCTCAGTTGCAGTAAAGTATTAAAAAAATAATATAGAAGTACAATATTTAATGAGTTGAAACTTGTCATAACGCCGAAAATATTTTTTGTCATTGCTTTCAACGTAATCACTACTCCTAGTGGTTGGTTTCTTGGTAATTCAATTTTATTATTATGACTACAGCAGTAAGAGGAAAACAACATTATGTTTTTTCAAACAAATGTAACATCTGCTGTAAGAGTAAAAGCTTAGATTACCTACATTAATATTAATTTATTTAAAATTTAACTCTTTTTTTCTAACGAAACTATCCTTGTTATATCTAGTTAGCTTTAAAATGGCTAGAAAAAACCATTTAAACTCTTTCTTTTGTTTGTATATTTTGTTCTACCATCTTGATGTGAATAACATTACTTTCTCTTTTCACCTGTCTATTCTCATCAATTCCTACTTTTCTCATCCATTTTAGAGTCCATTCAATCTACTTGAAAGAATCGTCTGCTATTCAACTAACAGCAACAACTAAAACAACCAATTGAAAATTTCTTTGAAAATAATTGGCTTCCAAAACTGAATTGAACAATGCAATAAATGTAAAACAAAAGTAAAAAAGAGTTAGATCACAATACCCTTGAAACAATGTACAAACTTGTTAATTTAATTAATTAAATGTAAAATGTGAAATAAAGCAAATAAAAAAAATAGTTACTTTCTTTTGCAATATGCTGATAATTATTTTTCGCATCTCAGGTGTAGTGTATAACGCATAAATGTGGTATGACACAAGAGCTTTTCATAAACGCAACGATATTGTTTGCTAGGAAGAGCGCTACGTTTGCCTGAATACCACCGATCGTTAGCGTGTTTGGTTTGATGATACGATTGTGTACTTAACGTTGGGGTGTGCCTCCTGACCGTACGCGAGGAGCCATAACGGGATGAATGTTGGTAGAAGTCACTGGGGGGGTAAACCAGGAGGAAGTGAGAGACATAACAAGCTTGTTCATACTCTGGATATTGAAGCCTCTGACGCCAGTGCGAACGCACCGCCGACGCCTACTAAATCCAAAGGGATTTCTCAAACAGCCAGTACTAAAATTAACGAGATATATCGACTTGACAATAGTCCTCGAAACGTCTAACAGCCTATCAATAATCAACAGCTGAATAAGATGTTGAGGTTTCTCACAACGTTGATCAAAAGCTGCCCTAATAACTTTGTACTGTCAATATCCTTTGATGCCTATACTACAATTAATCTCTAGTCGAATTAATCAGGTACTACTGCAACTACCACTACATAACTAACCCCACTACTAATGAACACTGATTGCAATGATATATATGATATATAATATTAATCATTTCAGACTTAAGAATGTATTGATATTAAGTTACTTATGATATATGCATAATGTATGTGTTATTACATAAAATTTTTAATACAAGGAAAGTTTTCTTTTATTCTTAATATGAACAAGTAAGTCTTCTGGCCTATATTACGAAATAATGAAAGTAGAAAAATGCTTAATTTAAGATATAAAGTAAGATAAGTAGACCAGAGCAGACGCTGCAAGTAGTTAGAGAAAAGCTGGATATCTTAGACCGAGAAAACTAATTTTAGTCTTTAATGGTTCTGCCAATAGCAATTCCTATAAGATTGAATAGTGATTTCCAGATTCTCACGAGTAATACGCGAAAGAAAGAAAAACTTTTTCGCTAGATCCACTTCATAAGTACTTAAATTTCTTTCTATTTTTGTACAGAATGCAGTCCAGTGCAAGTTAAATGATAATAAAGCAAGAAAAGTCGCTATCATATACCAATTTATAGTTAACGAATAAACTTTTTAGAGTATTTGTTAATGTCATCTAAGTTTAATTCATACATTTATCAAAGAAAAATATAGAATAATAACTAAAAATTTCGTGTTTTTATTATTTATATCATTTTAACTTAAGATTAACTATAAAAAAAGAGTATATTAAAAGTATGAATTGATTTATTTACATTTTTTTACCAAGCATCTTTTGTATTTCTGCAAAAGTTTTACCCTTAGTTTCTGGTGTAATGCAATACAATACTATGGTCGTAACTAAAAGTGCTATAGCAAAGCCAAAGAAGGGTATAGAGTGCCCGAGGTGTAATCCATCAGTCAAAATTAAGTACATTTTGAGACTAACAATGGCTTGAAATCCTCCTATAAGACTTGTAAGGCAACTACCAATGGCTTTAATTTCAGTAGAAAGGATTTCACCAACTATAACAGGTTGTATAGAAGCTATTCCAATATTAAACGAAAAAACAAGTACTATAGCTGCTAAAAGTGGTACTGTATTGTATGATACAACATTAATGTCCATATAGTCTTTAGTAAAAAAATAAAAACCAATTACAAAGTTACAAATTCCACCACAAACACCGGAAAATAATACTAGCGGCTTTCGGCCAACACGATCTACAAGAAGAGACATAATCAGGGAAGCAATTAATTGAGTAGCTGCGATACTAATGACGGCAACGTGTTCACTAATTGAATTCCCAGCGGCTTGAAATATTACATGTCCATAAATCATGATAGCTGCTAAGCCTCCAAAATAAAAAGGAATGAGAAAAAGATTGATAATTATGAAAGCACGTAAATTACTTTTATCTTGGAATAATAATTTCAGAGAATCAAGTAAACTGTGTTTCTGAGATGTTTTTTCTTTGATTGAATTTTTCATTATTTCTAATTCCTCACTGACATCTAATTTTCCTCGAAGCTTTTCTAATACTGCTTCAGCCTCAGATTCTCGGCCTACTAACATCAAAAAATATGGAGATTCTAGAATAAAGTACAGGGCTACTTGAACTACCACAGATATTGATAAAAATACACCAGATGCTACAGACATGCTCAGGTATGGTATAATAATGAAGGAAAAGAGAATTCCAGCATTGGCCATGATGCCATAAGTTGAACCAATCATCCCTCGTAATTTCGTCGAAGCTATTTCTCCAAGATAAAGAGGACTGACACAGAATGATACTCCTAAAGACAAACCAGCCATAATTCTGGCGATAATTAATACCTGAAAAATAATATTCCAATTAGTAATCATAAAAAGACATAATCAAGATATTAATAGATAGTGTTATACGTACCCAGAGATTTTGTGAAACACACATCATTGCCCAGGAGACTATCAGTGGTAATCCTCCCAAGAACATAGAGTTCTTTCGACCCAAAGTATCGATCATCAGATTAGCAATAATTGGAGCAATAAGATGACCCAAAGGCCCTGCAGCTGCGATTGTTGAAACATCGTTATGGTCGATGGGAACAGGAGAGTCTGGCTTCAATAATATTGCGAAAGTTGGTGAGTTCCATCCTATTATACAACCAATGCAAAAGGCTTGGATCGAACCTTAAGAGCAAAGACAATATTTAGAGAGAAATCTTCAGGATAGATGGAGTGAAGAAACAAATAGTTGGCCACTTTAGTTTAATACTACTTGTAAATTTCTGTATTTCTTTCGATTTTCATAGTAAAGTGATTCGTTAATAGAAACAGAATATAATTATTTTCTTTCAATACATTAATATCGTATCATTTCCGAACAAAATTCTATTTTTATTAAAGCTCTTTGATTTTATAGTATAAACTTAAGCATTGTAGATTTAATGCTTCTTATAAATACAAGCTTTTCCAATTTCACTTTATGACTAGCATGAAATCAATTGAATGAAAAAATAAAAATATTGAATCAAACAACAAAAAATAAATATTTTTCCAATATTTTCTGGATAAGAGATTGAAAAAAGTCTTTTTTATTGTGAAAATTAAACTTAATTTAAGAAATTGAAAAGATTTTATAATACACCAACTAGTGTTTTCACCCTAATGCTGTAAAAGATTAAAAAGTAAAAGTCTTACAAACAAATGTCGTCCAGTACTCCCAAATATGAGAACCTTCCGGAGAAGTGTATCTTCCTTTATCAGGCATTTCGAGAGACTGATTATTTTATGAAACTTTATACAATGCTGATAATTTTTATAATTTTCCCCTCCAATATTGAAGATAAGACTGACAGAAATAAGACCCATTATCTATGTACAAAATTATTTACCTACAAATTCTGTTATCTTGATATTTAAAAGTTTCTTGTCTAATTGTATGATAACTACATTTTTTTTTATCACATTGAATGAAAATATTGAAGTAATCTCAACACCAACGGCGATTTTAATGATTGAATTTGAAATAAATTTCAACATCATAAATAATCATTACAACAAAATGAAGATCATGTGATGATTGCGACATATTTGATGATGAGTGTTAACATTTTGTTGTAATGAAGAGAGTATTTGCATGTTTAGGATCTTGTGATTACAAGAGCAAGTGACAATTCAACTATCACTCGAGTGACTAACAATTAGTGCGTACACGATACGCCAAGTGGGTCAATAGCACGATTAGAATGGACGTTAGGGGACTGAGAGGCTGAAGGTACCTATTTCCATTCGACAGAGACCTATAGTATAGCTAACTTGACTGATTCTACAAATATCGATTCAATTCACCCATTTACCATGCAAACACAGTATATCCATATGGATGCAATAAGTAAATAGATTCTCTTTCTAAATTAATACTTTTTTACTTCTTTCATCAAGAATTGATTCAACATACTTTCCTAGCTAAAATGCTGCACCACATATTTTGTTGTTATCAAGTAGTAGTGAAATTTTTTGTATCGAAGTAATAAACACAAATATTGATTTTTATACTGCGAAATTTTTATAATGAACGTCAACATTTTCTTTATTTATTTTCATTACACATTTTTATTGGATGACAAGGTAAAAGATAAGACGTCACTAGTTACTTTGCAGCTGTATACCACTGCTTGTCAATTATAGAAGATGTGCGAGACGATCGACAAAAGAATACTAAAAAGAAATATAAAAAAAATATATGTGTATTCTTATAGATTGACATTTTGAGAATCAGGACATTTAGGATATGAGAAAAAAGTTTTCAAACTCAAATGTGTCTCTATACTGTCTCCCAATAGAATTTTCATCTCCCGCGAGCCAAGTGTCACTATAGTATTCCACTCAACGTACAAGAGAATGACATTTCTTACGCTACTTCAACATTTATACGAAGACTGAATGATGGATAAAATTTTCATAGAAACAGTTGTCATTACTTTGCCATTATGTATTTTCATTCATCGATAAATGAAATATAATATTTATCGGAGGGAACTCCATTTCTAGAGGCTAAATTCAAGCTAAATATTTACACTATCAAGAATCTTTTACCGTCAAACCAGTTAATAAATTGCACTATTGAAAAAAGTTATCAAGTAAAACAAAAAATAAGAATAAAAAAAGGAGCATAAAACAGCATTCCTATTGATGGAATTAGTTTTATAGCTATATCGTACTATGGCTTGAGATCTTCAACGATATTTCATTCTTCCCCTTCTCTATTTACTCTGCCAATAGCCCTTATATAGCTCTATTCACTTCAACCAACGATATCCAACAAGCCACTTTAAGGAAAAATGTATCCGGGCATTACTACACACTACCCTCTCGAATCTTCTACAATGTCATTTTCAATGAAATCTATTTCTCACGAAATATCTAAACCCTTAACATTCTCGAAAATATCTTGCGGTTCACTAAATCTCTATCTGCGTCATAAAATGATGTTAAGTTAAAAATTGATGATCACAATTAGATATTAATAGCGGTATATAAATGTCTTTTTTTTATCTATTTTCATTCAATTTAGTATCTAATATTCCAACAAATAATTAATTATATACACATTTATCTATATAAATATCATAACTATAACTAAAATATCTACAAGTTATAATTTAAGATAAAGTTATCAACTAGAGAAGATAGAACTAGTAAATTTACTAGCAAGCTTACTTATTTTCGTAACTTCTAGTCGTAGTGAAGAGCTCGTTAATTTCAGAGTAGTTTTCTCTATATCCCCCGCAGATTCAGAGAAATGCCAGTAAATTTGAAACAGTAGAAAGACCGGGCGATTCGCTCAGTTTAAATGTATTTACATTTTGTACGTGCACATACGTATGTATATATGTATATAATGATAATAAAATTTTATGTCATTATTTTACCGCATATTTGATCTAACTAAATACATATAGATAATCTCAATAAAATAATGTCAGATTCATTGTGATTATTCTATTAAATAAACATTCATTATATTTTAGTATTTTTCACTAAACATTACAATTAATTTTATAAATAAAACCATGTATACGCTTAGTTAGTTTTTCCTCATACAAACACTTGAAAGACCCTCTATTCTTTCACCCCTTGTCAACCACATTCCCATATAATTAATTATATTTATAAAAAAAAAAACTATGAAAGCTCTGATGAAAATTTCATTTCCAGCATGTTCACTTGTTTTATTCGACTTTTTACATTCTCAATTCTTTCAGTAAAGGTAGAACATTCAAATAATCACAAAAATATGAGAGAAAATTCTAAAAGAGTCCTGTCAAAAATTCGTTATACAAAATAAAACAGCACACTTAAATTAAATTTATTCATCAATGTTTTTTCCAACATAAACCCACTGGATACGATTAGTTAAAAATTTTAATAACTCCCAAGTTTCAAACGATGATTAAGAATCAGTCAGGAAGATAAGTTGATTATGCAAACATATTTTTTTTTCTAAAGAAAAAACATAAAACAAGGAGTAAAATGTAATCTAGTGTCGATTTCTATATGAGATTCAACGATGTACTACTATACGGGGTCAGGGAGCAATGCAGACGAAAATCACACACGCTGGCGTGTCTAGAAACCGTAAGAAATGATAATACCTCCCTTGCACGTTTCGAGTGTACGTGTGTGGTCATATGAATACGTATACATAGATGCTTTCATATCACAACTTAGACGCTCAGGATGTATGCACCAGCAGGGAAATTTATGTTTGGCATAGCGTGAGCACAAAGCATACTACCCGGACTTATATATACTATTATATACCAAATAGAAGTTCCATGGCATAGACTCAAACACCTTCCTATTGCTTTCTCTCCATTGGCTCGTATTATTGCGAATGCTACCTCATCTGCTTACTATTAAATTGAGTTATTTTTATTTATTGAGGTCACAACTAAACAAAAAATTACCTTGCATCTATTTGAAGAACAAATATTGAATAGTTAGTAATTTACTATCAATTTGGTTACTTACGTTATTTCATTAATTAAGCTTTTTTACGATTCATATTCATCAAATCTTGACGGTAGATTTGAATATTTTAATTCTATTAGGATATTTTAGTTGAATGATTATCACTTTACAGCATAGACCTACACACGCACTTACACTGGATAATGTTATTTTATGATGAAAATTTTATTCAATATAGGAAGTAGAGTCGTTGTACTTCACATTTATATGCAGATATTTACCAATGAAAATAACAAGCCTGTTGCCAATAGCGCATGAATAATTCATTCAAATAAAATAGCTTATTTTAAAAGTACTATTCTATTCAATAAAGAAATTTTGAATAATCGCAATTGTTCTCTTTTTGTTTTATATTGCAAAGTAAGACCAGTAATAAAAGAAAATAAATTATAGCGAACCCGAACTAAATAACTGCCGAAAAAATCAATATGATATAGAATTTTTAAATTATGGATAATAAAATTCAGTGTAATAAAAAAAGTTTATAACTCTATAACTATAAATATGATATAATATACAATAAACGGTAACAAATAAAAGCCTAATATATACCGAAAATCACATGTTACCATGTAAATTATTACCGAGAAAAATAAGCTTAAATGGTAACTCATTCATAAAAAGAAAAAATTCAATAGATAATGAAAAAAAACGAAATGAGTCTATTTTATAAATTAAAAATAAACAAAAAAATTCAAAGATATTTCTTTGAAATCTTTAAAAAAAAAAAATTTTCTAAATAATGTTGATTGGAATATTAGCGAAAAATCGTGACTGAATAAATATATATCAATAGACATTGTAAACAGAAAGAACTAAATACCTACGTAATTTGAAATGAAAAATATCTAGGAAAAAATACTTATTATCATTGTTTCGTAAAAATTAAGTATACAAACCCTCCCGTTTTATGTTGACGCTACACGCAAAAAACTCTCTATTATTCTTTAGCTCGTTTTTCTCACAAACAATTCCCCACTCGAAGCCAAAACAAATACCTCTATTAAAATCAAACGTTTATTGGTATTGTAACAAAACGACTATGCTTACAAATTACGAATATATCTGCGCGCTTCGGAATACATGAATATGTACACACGAATGATTCTTAGTTAGCTCATCATAAGACAAAGTATTTGTCATGAAAATAGAAAAAAAATTCTTTGAAAAAAAAAGATCAGAGAAATAAAACGACTTTTTAGTTTGGAATTTCAATTACTAATGAAACTTGTAATGCTATTCGCGCTGTACGAAACGTTGATTTGAAATTGTTTCGATAGAGCAATACCAGGAATCACAATGCTCCGAAAGCAAAAAAACCACTCCATAAAAATACTGCATGACGGAAATGGAGTAATTCATCTAAATAAAATAAAAGTTTGTGTCATTTACTTACCACTAACTGTAGAACCGACGATGAGATTTTGATCCTATTTTTGCGTCACCATAATTACAACGAACGATAATCTAATCCATTAAAACACATCAATCATCTCTAAACAAAACTACCATCTATTTCATGTTGTTTTACATTGATACGATAATATCTATATTAGCAATAATATTCACAACATATTTTAATTATAAACGCGATTATTTATCGTTTAATTAACTGTTATTTTCAAAAATTTATCTGCACCGGCACAGATACTTCGCGAAAACGTCTACACACGCCGTGACGCCAAACGAAACTGAACGATCTCGACTCTTAAACTTATGCGTCATACTTATTTATTCTTCTTTATATGCTTTTTCTCATTTTATTCATTTGCAATACCTGACAAAATTCATGAAAATTTATTTAGAGACAATTTTATTGAACATTAGTTATTGGACATGAACTTTACTGACGAAAAGATTTTTTTTTGTCAGACGCCAACGCTTTGCGCGGGAACGTCTCTGGGCTCAAGCGCCATTTTGATAGTCGACGAGTTTCCTGCTGCGCACGAAAAACTTATTTACCAACAATTGGTTTCTTACCATAGTGTAATATTATGTAAATTTCTTTTTTATCTAATGTAAGTAGAAACAAAAAAAGTTTCAAACATAACCTTTATTTCAGCTGATTTCGGCAGTTCGTCTTGGAATGTTAGCATACGTTGATGTGCAGTTATTCGTTCTCCAAAAACTTGTTGACATTTTAAACAGTAGTCTGCAAAGATGAGTTTTCCATCGTGCATCAAAATGGTAAATAAAAAAAATATACAACAATTTAATAAGTAATATATTTTTTATTTTTAATCTATTTCAGCCGGTTTCTCGGAGTGACAGTGTGTCTGATAATGATAGTAATGGGACAAATGATCCTGAAAATCATTCAACAACATACAATGATTTGATATTAATTGCAAACGAAGTTTTTGGTCATGGAAAATGGAGTCACGCAGTGACAAGTCAAACAGTAGGTAAAAATCATTTGATTTGCAATAACTTTAAGAGTGATACATTAGTAACTTTATTTATTTCTTTCTAAAATATTTTTTCTAGATTTTGTTGAATATGTTATGGGAAAATATCACATAGGATGTGCTGCATTTGTCAAAGTACAGTTGCCCGATGGCACTTACCACGAAGAAATGGGATATAGCAATGCAGAATCTTCTATAAAAGGTTCAGCAGTGTATTCAGCACGACGTGTGTGTAATAATTATATTTTAACAAGAAAATAATCTTGTTTACATCATTCATGAAAGTTTATTTCACAGTCTTCAATCACCAATGCTTTTAGAAAAGCATTACTTTGTTTTGGTGGAATCATTGAGGAGAAAATTGAGGGAATACAACCGAGTTCACATAAAAGAAAAATTATCAAACTATATAATACAGACAATCAAAGTGACAAATTAAAAAGTGATTTAGTCAAAGCCTCTAAACCAACAGTATTATCCTCAACTAATGTCAATAATCCAATAGTCGTTAAAAAAGAAACTAGTCCCGTCATAGACGATAAAAATCAAGCCAAAGGTAAAATTATCTATAAAATAAAAAATAAAATTTCTGTGAAAATTGACTTTTTATTATATTGTATATTTTTTCTATTAGTTGTAGAAACAGTTTTACCAGAATCAACTATAAAAAGAGAAGTAGAAACTAAGCCAGTAATCAATTCCAAATCTACATCTTCAGTTGCCTCGTTACAATATACAAGATCATCTACAAAACCAAATAATGTCGATAATGGGTCAACTCGACAAATGACTGAAGAAGAATTGCGGCTTGAACGAAAACGTAAACAAAGAGAAAAACAAGAAGAATATCGAAGATTAATGAAAGAGAAAGAAGCCAAGAGTGAAGATAAAAGTCAAGGTAGGCCGTAATGAATACTAAATAAGAATAGCTAATTATTATTAATTAACATTAAGTCAATAAAATTATAATGATATAATGAAATTATGTAAATTTTTGAGAGATATTTTTTCCATATATTTTTATACCTGACGATATATATATAATAGCATTTTATATGAACATAAACTGATTTACAGATTATATTGAATTATTAAAGGCTCCAAAAAATGAAGAAAATGTTTTCTTATAAAAACAAAACAATATCGAATTTTTGATATTTATTCACCAACCAGTTCTCTAATATTTTTATATTTTGTATCAATTACATCAGTAGTAGGTAAAATTTGTTTATATTAATTTCATAATACTGTTATAGGGCATTTAAGAACTTCTAATTATCAATAATTGAGCACGTTGCAGCAGAATAGATACGACGTTCTTTACCGATCAACCTCGCGTCGTAATTTCCGATTTCATACGCCCGATTTTACATGTAGATATGAATTCTTAAATAATCTTCACTTCATACCACATAAGACGTTGATTCACACTTACCACTGCTATGTTATTAATACAGTCACAAGCTTTAGGGAAAATCTGGAGCAAAAATAAATAATATTTCATATGTAAACTTTAATCGCCCAACTAACTCATTTCCCCATGACATTCATAGACTTATAATAATGTAATCTCAGTATTCTTTGAGAATTAATTTAACAATCACAAATAACTTTTTTGCAATAACTAGTAATTTAATCATTAATGTTTTAACATATTTACTATGTTTCCTCCAGAGGAGATAAAATTAAAATTTTATTCATAATTACTTATAAATTTTTTTTAGCATCAAATCCTTTTTTCATAATATATTTTAGTTTTCTTCTTAAACTGTTGTTTGTCAAGGTGCACGTTTAATTTATTTACTGATGACAATAATAACAACAAAAATCTCTTATTAATTTTTTAACATTAAAAATAAATTATATTATATTTCAAAATCAATCTTTATATAATCTATTCATAAATCTTTTCAGTTTCTATCAACAAAATTTTCACAACTAAATCATCATTTATTTAACGAATAAAAATATAAACTATTTATGTATATATATTTATATAATTAAATCGATCATTTTTATTTTCATACATTCTACCTACTGTGTCTGTTGTAGATACATTAATGATTTATTAACGAATTTAAATGCATGTGTATGTGCTGCAGTGCCTGATAAAATTAATTATTTATCTTAAAAATAATAAATAGAAATTCTATTTTCATTATTCTAATGACCTTTTCGCAATTCATACACCCTTTTTTATGAAATCAATTTATTTTCCCAGTTATGATCATTCTTTTTGTTGCGTTTTTTTTTAATTTTTTATCTTTATATATATTTTCTCATGTTGAAGATTGACCTGAATGATTTCAATTTTTTTTATTGATTATTTCTGATGGAAAAGATTGATTTTATTGGGTGAAACACACGTCTTATTTTTATCGTTATTATATAAATTATCCCATCATTTATAATACTTTCCATTACAGCGATACTTTTTCAGCCTTTATGGATATGACAATGGGGTGTATTTTACTGAAGTCATTCGAAATTGATAATTATTTACAGTGGGAAGTGACATTAAATTTTGAATGGATATATGCATGATTTATAGTAGTTCTACGTGTAATACGTGCGACTATTAATTCTAACGGTGGTTAATCTAGAACGATTCGTATCATCTGTTATTTTTTCCATTTATTTTATTGTTTTAGTTTTTATCTGACCATTGAACATAAATAAGATTTTAGGTATTTTATATTTTTTTCTCCATCAACGGCCGATTATATTATAAGACTTGTTGACTTGTATTTTCTATGACAGTACTTTCCAACGATTAATAACGATGTCCACTTACTTCCGGCAATATTTCGTGAAAGGATCAATATTTTCTCAAGATCGATGATGAAGAAATGAAATTATACCATCGCTCGTCATTTTCTTCAAATTAATCTTATCGACATTTACATTTTGCTCTTGTACCCTGACACCTTATAATGCAATTATGATATAAATTCGTGTCGTCCATTATTATTATTATTATTATTATTATTATTATTATTATTATTATTATTATTTAAATTTTTTATTTGTATTTTCACTTCAATTTTTTTTATTATTAATTAGTATTCTTATTTTAATGTTACTTTTATTATCTAGTTGACTGACAAATGCCCGATGTGATAAAGAAAAACATCGGATCATCCCTATTGACTGGAATATAATAGTCTATTTGTCATGTTCCAGGCAATATCAATTTATTTATGAAATTTGTTAAAGCCTAAACAAATTTATCGTAAATTTCTCTATCGTTTGTATTGTATATTTTAATACTCACTACGTTTGTACAACGACAGAGTGTGCAATCGATCCATTATCAGTACTTTTTCTTTTTTTCCCTTTTTTTCAATTTATATTCATTTTAATTTATTTAGTAAAGTTGGAATCACTTTGAATACGATTTGTATTTTTATATTTTTTTCCATTTATTTTTTTATTTTGTTTGAGTGTATACAAAATGAGTTATTTTGTAAACACCAATATTTTGATTCTTACCATTATCGACATCTACTTGGAAGAAACTTCTAGTCTCCGAGCAAAATTCTCATTTATGTGAATATATATTCGATTGTTTTTCTTTATTTAATTTACACTTGTTATTATTAATTATCGTCCGAAGCTCGATTTGTAGAATATTTAATATTCAACCGTTTTATTCTTTTATTTATTTTTTGTCTTTTTTGATAAATGAATTCGTGTAAAATGCGTTATGATGAGATATTAAGACTTAAGGCTAGAAGTTTCATTATATAAAGGAGTCACTGATTTGTTATAACAAGTTGTTTTCGTTTTTGATACATAATAGGTATAATACTTATAAATTTACATGCATATCAGTTTTAAGGCCGTGGCTATTCAAGGCCCACTATTTATTAATTTCACTTAGTGGCACGCGGTCTCTCATTTAATATGCTACAAATTACATTCACACTAATGATTCTCGTTCTCGCCCAAAATTCGTTTGTGCTTACAGAGAAATGTTCCTGGATTTATTAATCATTATTTTTCTAATATCTTTGAGCATTTAATTATCGCCATTCAGTACGACAAATTGCTTCATTAATTTATGTCGATTGATGATGTCTAATTATTGATAATTGAAAAATTTCGCGTATTATATAAGATGAGTCAATTGAATACAAGACAAGTAAATTGTCGTACTGAGGTTAATCGACATTGAATAATTAAAATTTCCATTTCTCACCATTATTATCCCAACCCGTATTTAATTCTACATTTCTTATCAGTCATTCCTCAGCTCCCTTTTGCACCATCATCCTCCCGAAAGAGGTACATGGACCAATATGCAAAATTGAACATGACAAACATGAATGGAAAAGCAAATCGTGCAATAACGTCAATTCTTGCGCTGCCTTTCGCTTGACAGCCGAATAATTGCTTTAATGGCATTTTTCTCGTTGTACCATCGGATAAACACAAAAATTTACGAATATTTCGGTTATTTCTAATCATCACTGGTGGCGATGGTGTTGCCATTCGTGAGGAACCTGGTGATGGTGATCCTCGTGATGGTATCCGAGAAGTTTGCGATGTTCCTGGTGAACATTGAGCTTCATTCTCTGTCTGAGATGATGAAGTAGGCGATTGCGGTTGAAAGTGACGTTGCCGCTGACGATTATACGAGTGATGGTTGTGATGATAACCGTGATGGTGACTGTGATGGGTTTGATTACCAAGACTGCGAGGATGAGAACGTGAACGATGCCGTGATGTGTGATGAGAGTGATAGAGATGGCCGCGAGCCACATCCCTAGATCCAAGCATCTCCTCGTCTAAGTTTACTCGTTCTCTGCTTCCTCCCGGAACAGGTATGTGGACCAGTACACGAGGTTGAACAGAGCGAACACGAGAGGGAAGGTGATCCTTGAGATGACGTCGATGCGCTTGGACCTCGTCGGGAACTTGGACAGCCACGACCTGCAGCAGTTTTTTTTCGGTAGTTGCATATGAATTTCGCACTGCCGCACCTTATCCATTGTCACCTTATCATCCCGGTGTCGGACGAGAGGATTCTGAAAGAAATTGACGGCTCTTGGTTTGGTGCTCAAACACTCGGTCGAATTTAATCATTCGAAAACTACGTTTCATTTTATTTTTTTAGCAATTTTTCCGTTCTGTTCTAATTCTCATTCAAATGACTCTTGTCCGATTCGTTCATGTATTTTTTCTTTTTAATTCTAAATTATTCTTAAAATAGTTCAAGCCATGCAAAAAAAATTCTTTTCCTCTGTATACAATCATTTCAGGTAATTTTATTCTTTGGGGAATTGATCGTTTAGAAGCTTTATCAAACTGATGATAATGCCAATTACTAGTAGTTTAGATGCAATCACTGATCAATTAATGACAAATTATGAAAACGTTGTTAGTTTTAGTTTCAATAAATAGTCAATCACTTTTGAATTCAATAAAATTCATTATAAATTAATGAATCAAAATGAAATAGTCTTTTCAAATTTTCAATTTTTATGAAAAAAAATTAAAAATAATTAATTGAAAGTGTCTGACTAAAATCAGATAATTCTACTGTTTACTTAAATCCATTTAATTTATTTGATAAAAGAGTTTATTAATTGCTCTAAAATTGTTTTGATAATATTGAAAAACTGATAATATTGTTTATTTATTAATAAACGTTCTCGGAAACAATTGTCTGTTAGATAAATTAATTGCTGTTCATAATTTTTTGATTATTAATAACTAGTGGAATTCCAATAAATTTCTATGTATATAAACAAACGAAATGAAACATCCAATATTCGTTTATTTCCCTTAAAAAAAAGAAAAGAAAGAATGTTTTAATTTTAATTCAGCATTCTCATGAAAATAATTGAAAATGAATTGCCTAAAAGTGGATCTGGATTAAAAGAGATGCCTGGAAGGGCATTGCTTGATTGCTACGATAGTCCCTGATAATGGTTGCATTTGAAAAGAATTTTTTTGCACGAGCTGTTGCCAAAAAAAATTAAATCAAATATGAAACTGACCATTTGAAAATTGGTGGCGCCGTCCGGTTCAAGGAGTTCAGTGGCCGGGTCGACGGATGATGAGTGTTCCATTTCTCGATATTTTTTTTTCATATTTTCTCGATGCATATCACTTCGCGAAGCATAATTTACCAGCGCAAATTCTAGCAACGCACCAAATACAAAAGTCAGGCATACTCCTGTCCATACGTCAATTGCCTTTGTGTATGAGACCGGTGGCAGTGAAGCATTTATTCCAGACGTTTGTGTAGCCATTGTCAGTAGTGTCGTTACACCTAAAAAAAGACAAGTACACTCGAATGAATAAGCAAAAATCATGAAGAATTGAAGAATATGTAGGTTTGATTATCATTATCATTATCAAGATCGATGAACTCAAGTATTGATTCTGAGCAATTGACTTGCTCGCTATTTGATGAAAAGATAAAAGCTCTTACCGAGCGACACTCGAGCTGGTACGGCACTTTGATCCAGCCAAAAAGATACCCATGAGACAATGACTAACATACAGCAGGGAATGTAGATCTGGATAAGATAGTAGCTGAACTCTCTCTTAAAGAGCAGATCCACTTTTAAGCAGCTGTACTCGCCTAAAAGACATTAAGTATCGATAAATCTTCTGTTTTTTTTTATCACATGAACATCAACGTCATTTACATATAATATCATTGTTCAAAAAGCTCGTTAATTTTATTGCATGATCAAACTCTCTTTACTAATAAATTACGTAACCAATTAAGATATTTTTTTTTAATTGAACAGTGAAGTATACTTATTTGTTTTGTAGATACTTGAAAGAATTATTGAAGTACCTGTATTTGTTTTACTGTTACAGTAGTCAGTGAGATATTTTTCCAGAGTGAACCGTGGAAGATGTAAATTTTTCACTACCTGGACGGGATCACCTTCTTTCCATTGAAACACTAAGTCATCAGTCGTCCAACCATCTATATTTCAATAGTCGATAATATATTTCATGAGAACTTTTTCATTGATTTTTTCACAACTTTCTACCTTTTCATTTAAATACTCACAGCTGGCCATTCGTAATGAGCAAGTTTGCCGGTCGAGAGGATAAAGTTTTAAATTCATTGGACATGATAATGTAAGAGATATTCTATTAACAAAAAGAAAATATTTTAAATGAATGTAGTGTTTATGAACTTTATAATTGAGTTGCATTCTATCATAATGTGTTAATTCATGAAAAAATTCTTTTGTGGAAATCTAGTCTACAAATTATAACTTATAATTAATTTCATTCATTAATTTATACACATTTATTTGCTAGTTTTGTTTTTCTTTTTTTTTTTCTTTCTTCAGTAATTTTATTACAATTTTTTTTATTAAATTTTAAAATATTTTAGACAATGTACAAAAAAACAGCGTCAATTAAATGAATTTAAAAAAGGATTTTTTTGTAGGTAGAATGCAAATTAGCAGATTTTAGTAGAAAATAAAAATTCATTAAAAATGTGATATATAAAAAATACTCACCGTATACTGTAAAGAACGGATCCATGTGGAAATATTCGGATATATACATTTGGCATAATGATGTTATGGAAATGTCCTTCTTTCTCATTGGAGAAAAAAAGATCGGGCATCCATACTCTTGAAGCTTCCGTTAATGTGAGATATTTGAGTTTTCCTGAAAATGTTTGTTTCTAAAATGTATTACTCTAACATTAACGAGAGTGAACAATTAATAAAAAACTTTTAAAAATACCTCCAAAATCATTGAATCTCAACCGCTCATCTAACCATTGTTCTCGAAATGTTAATTGTACCGAATATTCCTGTTGACAAATAATAAATGGTAAAATAATGTCGGGTAAGTATAATTGTAGTGTTCATTCAACTTTTCCCTCGTGATAATTCCTAAACTATCGAATATATATTGTTGTAGTATTAAAGCAATATTCGCAGGCAGTAATTTTAAATTTTGAAAATATTGTCAACATCGTCATTAAGGATTCAAAAGCCTTTTATCCTTTCAGTCAATTGTCACAAGTTGTCGGCCAATTATAACGAGCTCTTGGGAGTAAAAAAGCACGTTCTTTTATCTCGGTCACTGCTTTGAATTTCCTATTCTAGTACGTAAAAGCAGAATTTTTCAACAGCATACTACAAAACGTGCGAATTATTTTACTTGCAAAAATTTTTTATTACAAATTCCCTACATCGTATCCTTTTTTCTCACATTCCTTTTCTTTATTTAAGATATTTCATTACCAATGAAATTTAATTTCATATACAACCAACACTAAGCCAAATTAATATTAAATTTATTTATTTTCATAAATAAACAATAATTATCATACAAAATCTAAGACAATTATTTAAGTGAAATTATTATCCTTTTTGAATTCCTTGAGTAAATGAAAACAAATAACTTCTATTCTTTCCAATAATTACTCGTTAAATAGATCTGGATAGAACGCGTTTATTTACCGAACATTGATTTTATTTTCTAACTCTCTACGTTCATGTATGGATCAAAACTAAATAATAAATTTACTCTTGTGATGGTTTATGTACCATTATGAAACATAAAACAACAAAAGCAACATTGAATAGACTAGCTGGTTAAACATTAAAAAAACATTAACAGTGCAAAGCTCTAGAGGGATTGTGGTGTGTATCCATTGAAAGCACCAATTACTAATATAAAGCTACGATAAATAGTCATTTACATGCATTTAGCTCACAGTTTGGATGGTCGTTCATCATCAGCAGCTTACTTGAATTCTTCACCTTTTTATAATAAGGTCGAAAATCGAATCTGGTATTTGGGATTCGTTGAATAGATCGTCAACAACACAAATATCATATTTTCAATTCATTTTTTCTCATAAGAAAATCAATAAAAGCTTGATTATTAGTAAATAAATTTTTTCTCACTTGTTTTTTTATACTCTACTATTTGATAAATTCATGTATTAACAAGTCATGCATTACATAAATGATGTAAATAATAAAAAGTATCTTTAAGCTTACTCAATTCCTGGTTTCAATCAGTTTGGAAAAAGTTTATTTATTAAATAAAACAATTAAAAAGCTTAATTACTTTTTATGTTGTTAAATAAATCAAAACAAATTACTCATTGAATTTAATTTAAATTGAAATAAAAAAAGATCCAAAGAAAATAATCACAACAATTCAGACTGAAAATTTTCTAAAGACCTTGGCAGTATTAAGTTGTTGATGAAAGCTATGGAAAAGTGTATATATGTATAGAAATAAATATATATATATATATACACTGCAAGATCAAATTTTTCGTTTCATGCAGACATTACTCTTATTTCAAAGTCTATTAAATCAACTATTGTAAACTTCCTGATGTTTTATATCACAAAATCAACCAAGTTACTTGAAATGATAAAATGAAAAATATAATATGACAGTCAGATACTTGTAGAGATTTTCACATAGTTATTTAATAAATGGAGTGATAAAATAATTTTTACGTGAAAAATCACAGGTTTGGGTAAATAATTGTGAACGAGAGACTTGTTACAAGTGCATAAGGGAGAGCATTAAACTTCTTTGAGTTAATTGTCGCTGCCGCGAATGTGCACCGCTAATGATAATAGTGACGATTAACCCACCCTTTCTCTCACTGGCGTCGTCATTTCCACGAGAGAGTCTGCAGAGGATTTGCTCCATCTTGCAGATGAAACTCAGTTAGAAGAGCCTCCAATGCGTTTCTCAATTACTTCCATTTATGTAATTGAATGCGTGGAATGTTTCCACAAGAGCGCTGAAAAGGCTCCTGAATTTTCGTAGACCCAGTTATTTGTCTGGCAATGTACATTTGAGGCTTTCACTTCAACATTCATTTCTCAGATTCCAAAATTTACTACTCTTAAAGTAAAGAGCATACTGACAAATACACGGCTTATTACTAAATCTTATATACTTAACTTTTTCAATAGATAATAGATACAATAAATACATCATAACAAATATCAAAGGCGTAATAAGTTGATCAAATAATAATAAAATAATCAAAGTTCTATCGAGTTATCTTCTTCGAGATAATTTTATAATAATTTTTCAATCTTTATGTAAGTATCATTACACTTTTATGTTCCCTATATAAGCAGTAAAACATTGAATATCATGCTCCAAAGTTAGTAAATCGATAGTTTAATTATGAAAGTCACAAAGAGGTTGTGATATCTCCGTCGATGTAAATATTCAATTATGCCATGCAAAACCACTTGACTCCTTCGAGAAATATTTCAAACATTTGAGTTACCTATTAATTCTCACCATTGCATTCGGATTCCTCCAGGTTAAAGTTAAAAATTGATTCATCAATTAATTCAACTGTTTATAATAATTACTATCGTTTTCAGTCATACCTGTCTTGCAGCCATTAAACTGTTTCAAATTTCAAATCATAATAAATAATTATTTAAAACACACAAATGATTAATACAAATCTTTCAACTTTTCTTTGCCGAAACAAGTTACATATTTTTTAACAGAATTATCAATCTACTGAATTTCAAAAAAAATGGTGAAACTTAAAAATTTGGTGACTACTTCGGTGAAGGGTTTAATAATAATAGTAATTAAATAGGAAATACTGGAGTTCTAAAATTATTAAATCCCAAATTGTAAAATAGAGAGAATCCAAATATATATTTCCATAAATGTGTTTATCAATAATCAATATAAATATATATGTAAACAAAAAAACAAATCAGGCAAAGACAGCACATTCCCGACACATACTTGATTTATTATTAATTAATAAATCATAGAATCCAAGTCCAAGCTTTGCCTCTGATACAATAGAGGCGTGTAAGAGCGTGAAAGAGTGCATGTGTCAAGTGTATTAAATTATTGTGTTTAATATATATATATATATATAAAGATATATACGTGTAGGGCATGTCGATTTGTGCTTAAAATATTTATCTCAATGTATAAAATTTTTGGAAAAAATCTTGAATTCATTAATAATCAGACATATAAGCATTGGCTATTGCTATTTTTCTTAGCCACTTGAGGCATTATTGAATTGGTAATAATATTAAAGCATCATTGAGTGTTTTCCAGTGGCAATTGTATATTTAATTTCGAACGACACATTTAGTGCTGGGCATAAGCGTTTTTTGTTTAACTTTTATCATGTGCTCGACTGATTTATACACTGTACACTGTATCATTAAAATAGTTATAAAAAGTACAAAATATTAGCTTGCAAACTTTCTCGTATAGATGAGTTTAATTACATTTTGTCGCTACACGTTTGATGTCATATACGAAAAAAGTTATATTATGAGAGAGTTGTAAAGTAACTTATACTTTTATTATAAATCAATATTTATTTGTAATAAGTTATAACTAATAACTAAGAAGTTTGAAACATGTTACAAATATCGCATAAAATAATGTAGCTAGTAAGTACTAGGAAACAAATTAATTTAATATAAAGCTGAAATTGCAGCTTAAAAACTTCTTCACTTTCTCAATTATATATATATTTATTTCTCTTTCAATAAACAAGTATATTGTAATTGAATTTTTATAAGATACTACTCATTTTATATAATACGGTTAGCCTTTATTTGCTTGAATTACATTAGAAATTTCCGCGGGATAGTATCCAGACCACTTCTATTCCATATGGAGTTAATGATTTTTCTAAGACGCTTAATTCTTTATTGACTTAAGTATCGGTTTCTTAAAATGATCTATAGTCAACGCGATCAACAGCGAAAAGCAAATTTACAAGACAAGAACAAGAGGCAGACAATCAATGATATTAATATCATTATGACGCTCGGGATATTTCGGTTAGTGAAATTATGAAATAAGAGCCGGTAGTGATAACAGCTAGATAAATGTATTTTTTATATATAAATGTTATGAAAGTATCAATGAGAATGTATTGAAATTATTGGGCGCACAAAAGATGGGAATAGATAGAGATGAAGAATAACATTAAAAAAGAATAAAGTAAATGACGCTCAGCGAATGATCTGAATAAATCATGATCAAATAATATTAAGCGAAAAAGATGGATAAAATATAATGATTGAGCGAGTCATTTGGACTATTAACTTTGTTTGGGTTCAGCATGCAAATACATATTGATCTAACATATGTAATGACTTTTAGTAATAATAAATATATATATATATATAGTAATGACACAGGTCTGCGCAAGAAAAGTTGTTTTTCTTTCCTTCTTTTTTTTAATTAATATTTTTAGGAGAAGGGTGGGTAAAGTGGAACACGAGGGCAAAGTGAAACACTCGAATCTACTAATATATTAAAATAAGTAGAAAAATATTTATCGCACTTTTTGTTTATTAATTGTTCAATTTATTAATGCATTAAAACTTATTAACATTTGTTAATATAATGCTAAATTTGTTGATTAAAATTTTTTCGTGGTATTCCACTTTATCCCCTTTTTCCCTACTTCTTTATTGGACATCATATTTTTTTAAAAGTTAGATTGATGGTTTCGACAGTAAATAAAATGGAAAAAAATTTATTGCTCGATTCCAATCATTGCAAATATAAAAATTGTAAATAAATTTAATGAAAAAAAAATTTTGTCTATGAAATGTTTAAATTTCAACCTTTAGAATATCTCGGATAAAAAAACCTCACTTTATGTTTTATAAATGTAATTGTTAGAAAATAAAAAAAAAAAAAATTGGAAACAAAAAAATTCCAGTTATCCTTACTGCAAATATTAATGTTTCAATGTATTAAAATAAAACACTAAGATTTGTAGTGCTGGGATTCAATTAATTACTCAATTATTTTTCAAATAATATTTGAAGAGACAACTTTGTTACAAAATGTAAAAAAGAACTTAATCAATTTGAACACAATTCCTTTCAAAACATTTTGACATTAAACACACAAACTCACACACAAACACTTTAGAAATCATAATAACAAACTTTCAACACCTCAAAACATAAAGCTACATTGAAATTCCGATTTTCAATTGTCGTAGCAGCAAATCGGGAAAGTTAATAAAAATATGACGTGAACTTTACCAACAACGTATACAAGCGTTGACCAGTATTAATGTAAAAAAGCAAGAATAATCAATAAAAAAATCCGTCCAACTTTTCTCAAACATTTCGTAGACCTGTGTAAAAATGGATGTCAACTGAAAAATTCTGGACATAATAATTGAAGCCTCAATAAAAATCGACTGATATTATCAGTGTAATATTTATTATCGTAGTTGTTTGTCGGATAAAAAAAATGAAATGATCGATTTTTCGAGGCTGCCAATAATAATATAACAAACCGTAGACGTGCAGTAATCGTGATATTGTTTTTATTGAATTGAATAAATGGTAAATGAAAATAATAGATGTATAATAAATATATAGGACGACCGCGTTGGTAATTAATGCGCCATCGATGTGTATGATGTATATTTATGTAAACGAGAATAACAAAATTACAGGAAAATGTAATGACAAGACATACGAGATTATATATGATATATGTATTAGTATACAGCCAATGAATATCAGTCAATCAACCGCTCGAACAATCATTACGTTATGCTCATAAGATACATGACATGTAACGACATCGAGAATTGAACGTTCGACTGGTAGCACACATCCACTGGTTGCGCGACAGTACAAGTATAGTATACAAGTACAGTACAAAGAAGTGCAAATTTTACGAATCATGTACACGTGACGTTATAGATATACATGTGTGGTTATATAGACTGTAGGTCTTGCTTATTTTTGTTGCACTCACCATTTTATAATCATCTATTTTGCTGATTGAGCGAAGAAAGATGTTGACCTTCACATTTGTCGCGCCATCTAATTACGTTGCCGAAACAAAACAAAACAATCGGATTATTAAATCATTATGAGGGATTTAAATTTATCTTTTTTTTTGTTGATATTGATGTCAATGTTGGTATTATTCTTATTATTGCTGTTGTCGTTTTGTAGCTGTTTTTGTATTTGTTTTGATAATTATTTCTTAATTAGATCGTCTTTTTAAAGTTTATTTTATTATTTATTTACTTTTCAATTTTTATCATCATATTTATCGTTATATATATTATAATGATTGTTAATTATTTTATTCTTTATTTCTATATTAATTAGATGAATTATTATCGATATGTTGTAGCTGTAATCGTTGTTTCAGTTGTTGCTTCGGGTTTCTAGATAAAATGTAAGCGGAGTATTGATGATATAATAATCATGGGAGAGTGAATAAGGTAAAAACGTGTGATTGCGATAAAAAAAGATTATGAAAAATCGGTCGAGAGAAAGAATGAAACGGAAACTATGATTGATTTCTGTTTTGCTACTTTTCTTATGCAATATACAGCCGCAAAGAATATATACTTTTCTTTTCATTTTTTTCCTCAAATTTTGTTTCACTCAACTCAGAGTAACATGAAAAATCCATCTTCTGTTTCTCTCCACACACACACACACACATCTCGCTCACAAACTTACACAAATACTTGTATTCACACATTCTCATTTTATAAGACGACAGAAACCAGTAGTATGTGTTCTATAGAACAATGAACGAATTTTCAATGCAACGATGATGCATCAAACAACATGTGAAAAGAAGATAAAGGAGTTTTGGTTACATAAGACAATTATGAATACTCTGATGGATTTGATAAAATAGGATATAAATCAATACAACAGACTATGACATGTTTAAAACATTCATCAGAATAATTCTATTCACTTCAGCAAGGTTTTATTATTTGATAAAGTCTTTAAAACGACCGATTTCAGTGAAGTTGAGAAGTATCTTTCCTACTGTATATCATATTAGCCACTCCTGCAGAAGTTGCATAACGTAAGGAAGACTAGGGGTTGGGTTTTCTACATTGGCCCAATGAGATATATATATATATACATAGACCAGCATCGTAGCCCGTTGTTGAAAATGAAACTACAGTGTGCCCAATCTTGGTAATACGAGTGAGTCTGAGTCCCCGACAAATAACTTTCAAGTTGAAATAACTATGATATGTGTATATGACACATAAGCTTTTCACGTATATCTTTCTCTCTGTTTGCTTCACAGAGAAACTCACAACCAGATATGCTGTTGGCACTTACCAAATTCTCGCTTCATATCCGTTAATGTTTATAATATATTTCATCAAAATTTTTCATCTACGCATTTAAATCTATATTATTTACTACTAATATATAATTTTTAAAAAGCGAATAATATAATAATTAATTTTACAATCAATTAACATAATTTTTTATAAAATATATTGAAAGCGCTCAAGCCCAGTCTGTTGGAAAAATGTATATTTCGTTTGATATTGTACCATGTTATCGTACGTGGTATGTTTTATTTTTTTTCTCTTTCGTAGTTTATGTGAAAGAATATAATGTTTAGTACTTAATATATATGCATATTTTTGACGTGAATCATTTGTTTGCTTACTTTTCGAAACGAGTGACAAGCAGCTTGGTATGCAAAAGATAAATTATGTATTATCGCAAACATTGACTCATCTATTTGTAATAAAGCTGTAGATTTATTTAGTATATAAAAATCATTACAATTTGTTAAAAAAAAAAATTAAAATCTCTTGTATAGTTGTGTATATTGTTATTGTGTGCACTCAATTGTCACTCAAGTGCTTGAAATATTTTTTTGTTGGTTAAAAATATCGCAAAAGATGACAATAAACGACTTCCTATCACTTGAGAAAAAAAAACAAAAAAATACTAACTGAATTTTAAAAAATATTTCAATCCAAGAAAAGAGTAAATAATGTCAGCAAAATTAAAAAATTAATATGTAAAAAAAACAGCGATGCAGCTGAATTTAAATTCAAAAAATAGATGAGATAAATTTTTTGACTTTATAATTTATATATATATATTTATATGTAAGAAGAATAAAAAGTTAAGTAAAAATGAGTATGTGAGAAAACAATATAAATGTGTCTACCAAATAATTTCTACTGTACATGAGCAGATCAGCGTCACTATGATAACGAGCAATCAACTTGCAGTATGATGCCACGCATTATTTTAACGAAAAATACAAATTTCAATAGTATTTTTATTTAATCTCAATTCACGGCGATTTTCACATTGGATTTTCTGCTATAAAACTAATCTTGAAAGCATATAGTGTGATAATGCAACACATTCAATTTAACAAAAAAGCGTAACAAATCCTTTTTATCCAGAAAATGAAATTGCTTCGATAATAAATTGTAAAATCGATGAAAATTTTGCATATTTAGTCAGGAACTATTTCCTGTGAATTATAGTAAAAAAAAAAACAACTTGAAAACTAATTAAACTTTTCCAATTTGACATGCAATGTTTTGCTGAATTTTCATACTGAGTATTAATTTAATAAGTGGAGACTTGAACTAAATTTACCATTAAAATTACATAATTTCGCCTAATATGAACGGCATCATACTACTTCAATATTTGATTTTAAAAACATTAAACCTTCAGTCAATAATAAGTTGTAATAGATAAAAATATACTTTTCTTGTACATAATTATTACAGTGTGAAGATTGACTTTAAGAAATATAATGTATTCTCCAGAGACGAGGATGAAATAAAATATAAAAATTGTTTTCAGTATTTACAGAGTTAGCAAAAAAAAATTCAATATCGTCAACTAAAAAATTCGTTTCACGTTTGTTTACTCAATATCATATTTGAGTACTCAAACAATTAAAACTGCTTGTCTATACGTACACTAAAAGTGTTTGAATTCTTGTTGATTTTTTATTACAATCTATTTCATCCGAGTCTCTCTGATGGACCGACATTTATCACGCAAGAGTTTTAAGTATAAATATAACACACACACACAAACAGCTTAAAATGGATAAACTATAATGAACAAACGGTCGAAAATTGTAATATAATATTCAAGAAAATGACAAAAATCCAAGAAATACGTGCTTGTTTTTAGTGATTTTGACAAGTTAAATTGTTATTCTTGGTTTTTTTGTTGAGTCAAACTTACCATAGTAACGTCATCTATTTTTGAGATACTTCGAACAAATATGTTGACGTGGACATATGCAGGTCCATCTAACATAGCAAAAAAAGAACATAAATTAATCAGTCTCAAATAAACAAAATATTTGTAAATTGTGACGTGTGTATTATTATTTGCTTTTCCTTTTTTTAAATCCTTTGCATTCCCTCATTCATCACTTTTTCTATTCATGTTTTTTATTCAGTTCTTCAGTTAATCGACCTGTTGTTTGCATTATACTCTATCCATATAAATATGTATTATCGTCATTTAACCAATCATCATATACAAAAGTGCAAATTGTTTCAATAATTTTCAGAAAAAAAAAAATTACAGAAACAAAAATTGATAAATGTATAAAAAAACTAAAAAAAATATCAACAAGAATACAGAGACATTTATGTGTGTATACCAACGTACATAAAAAATGTATTATATAAAGTGAACAATACAGATATTTAGATAAATTTTATAAATACATGTTTCCTTAAAATCCATATAAATATATATTGTAAGAAAATTGCTGTCAGTTGAATCTCGACAGACAATCTCGTCTTCACATGCTAAAGTCACGTAAACTCCATCAGAAGCATTTCCCGTGTGTGTACTTACTATTATATTTATTCTACAGCATTTACGACCTCACGAATTCACAGGTAACTGTCTACGATGAAAATAGAAGTAAAAATCACTATTTAAATTGCATTTACCATGATAAGTTAGATAACATCATTGGTAAAAATGCTCAACATCCTCACTCAATGTCATACTGACAAACGTGCAAGTGAAAATTATCCATTTTATATATTTTTGTACTAAGATTTTCCGACTTTGATTACATAAAATTAGTCCGATCCTTAACTTAAAAACTTGCATATTCCTTAATTGCTACTTCTTCAGCAAAGTAGGTTATATGAATTATTCCATTAGTCAAAAAATTTGGAAATAATCATTTGAATAAAATAGATTGCTAAATTGCTATAGCTTATAAGAGTGATGATGTAATCAAAGTTGTTAAAGAAAGTTCGTGAGCTTTAAACCTTTCAGAGTTTCAAAAAGATTCATTATTTATATTTCTTATAAAATTACGAAAGGAAATGAAATAATTCGTGGGTATTTATGAAAGTTCTTTCAATTTTTTTAACTCAAGTTTTGTATGAAAAAGAAGGAAATATAATTTCATAAAAATTTCCATGAATGAATTTTAAAGAACCAGTTGCTGCCTTTAATTTGCTTTTTTAATCACAATTGAAATATTTTTAACTTAGTTAACTTCTTTTACAGTAAAATTGACCTTTTAACTCTAAACGTTTTAACTCATAACTAAATTTTCGTGTAACAGCATGATGGCATCCATTAATAACAGAAAGACGACGCTTTTTCAAAACTTATCATTATTTCATCAATTAAAATTTATTTTAACAAAGTCAAATCATATTACTGAAATGTCAAAGTTTTTGTTTAATAATAAATAAACTCTCTTCTACAATTTTCATTTTCAATTTTTTGCTTTCCAACCCACGATTTTCTCGTCTAATCATCATAAATTATCTTCTGTGCTTTAATGAAATATTGAAATATAAAATATTCGTTGTGTTTGTTGTTGTTATATCAAAGCAAAGCGTATATATCTTCAGTGTAGAATGTGGATCGATTTGATGGTATTAAGCCACATACACGAGACATCAGAGAGAAGCTGGATGATCTCTGATGTCTCGGGATATATGCGAAAAAGCTGTATTGGAATGAAATGCCATATTGATGCTTTAACCAGTTGAAAACGGATGTACGGAAGATTCCAA